GTATTTTTGAATGATAATAACTAAAAAACGAAGCCTCAAACGCAATTTTTTTATTCTTGATTTTCGCTTTATATCGGCTTCTAGAATCATCCCTTAAATTTTCTATCAACAGTTGCCGAATACCCCGAATATTATATCGCAGACATTTAATATACTGCTTGTGTCGAAAGCGCAAGCTAAAAATTCACCGAACCCATATACTGAGTATTTTAGCCCCATTGGTGGATTTCGCTGAACGCACATATGCTTTAATCGCCCGCAAAAGGTTAAATATGATCTTTTCCACGACAAAAGCTAAAATGTGAAAATGCAGTTTTACGTATTTGACTTATTTTTATATGTAAAACCACTTTCTTCCCCGTTGTATCGCCAGTTAAATTATTCTCTATATATGCTGTAATTTCATACGAGAAACGTACATTATTTTAATATTAATGAGACCACTAAAAATGTAGTATTAAAATTATGACTGTTTAACTTACGCGTATAAAAAAGTAGACCATAAAAAATATATTGAAAGCTAAGTCTATCTGCTGAGTAATGTTGTTGCTCCACTTTTGGCAACGTTCCACCTCTTCACTGTAACATAAAATTATTACATTGATCAGATTATTTTAAGATCTGTTTTACAAATTTGATCGAAATTTGTAGGAAAAGGAACAATTATTATTGTAAAAATAATAGAAAATCAATACGATAATATAAATTTATATAATGTAGTTATAATTCTTAATTGTTCTTAACTTTTCTATGACTGATTATCGATTTCCTAAATTGTAATTTTACACCGGTTCTCTTCGTGATTCAATTTCACAACATATCGCGACGTACACGACGTATTCTTTCTTTTCTACCTGCTGTATAATATTATACAAGATTCACCTGTATCTGAATAAGGGATTGAAGCTACATTCACATGTGTAGAGTGTAACAGAAAATAAATTTGGTACCACTGAAAGTGGAAAGTATCATTTCTATCTCGAATTCTCTAACACAGCGCTATAACGTGTGAGCGAAGAAAAAAGACTAAAGTGCACATGGCTTGGATAGCTCAAAGGTAGAGCACTTGTCTGGCAAACAGGAGATCTGGTGTTAAATTTCCGGTCTGGTGGCTCATGTGCCATTCTATTTTTCTTGCGTCTACAAAAGAAATTTTACATCAACTTCCATATTAAGAAATATAATAAAACTAGCAGCTTCAATCCTTTTGAGCAGTATTAATTCTTACAGATGCAAACAATATGTTTTGAATGCATGTACAGTGGAACTTGGATTATCTCTCTTAACCATCCAAAGACCAATTTCACATCACACCCTCACTTTCGGAGAGTACAACGGCTTTTCATGCAGTTCTTGAGGGTTCACAGAACTACCGTAGTACTTATCTCATGTTCTTGTTATCGACAAACCTCGATAGATATAAAACTATGCTTTATCAGTCATGAAAAAATTATTCAAGACAACAGAATCTTCCCTTAGCAAGCCAATAATGATAGTATGAAATTCAACCCCTGCTTCCTTGTCTCTGTTTAAAAGTTTTCGAGAAATTTCGATTTTGTACGGATGAAAGTTGATCTCTTTTAGCATAAGACCTAAACTTTTTCTATTCAAATTCAAAATGCGGGACTGTCGGAGCGTCGAACGCTGGAGACTGCACTCATCAGCTTCCCTCACTCTCTCCCTAAGTTCTCGAGCGTGCACACAGTTCGTGGAACTCTATGTTGCACATTTAACACACTACTCGTTCCATCGATTTTACTCACCCAAGCCAATATCGTATTCCGAGACAGAATCTGACCGTGCCGATCAACATTAAAATAACGTCTAAGCTGATACTGCACTCTAGGCTCAGATTTTGTTTCAGATAGTAAAAACGAACAGCGGTTGTGCGATGCAGCACAGTCTAACGATCCATTGTGACTGAGTCAGTATAAAATGGCGTCTTTTCCTCTTTTCGCTGCCACTTCACCGACCACTTTACGTCGTCGGCGGTAGCGACAATTCAAAGGAGTCTATTCAAACACCCTATGAAATTACCCACTTTCGATTTCTTTCAAACTTTACATATTTGTAGATCCGTAAAAGGGTTATTGATTTCTGGTGACTGTTTTTTTCATAGGTTCAAGGGTAAAGAGGGGTGTTAAAGCAACGCACTATGACACGAACACGTAGTGAAAGGCTATTTTTGAGTTCAGGATTTTTAGCTTATTGTTACAATGTATTTAGAGGATTAAAATATTAGGTCGTAACATATGAAATGTTCGATTTTTAGCGGTAAGTTTAAACGATCGTGACTTCTTTAATATTAATCAAAATAAGAACCATTACATTCCACAGATTTTTTCCAATTAGAAAAAAGTTTTTGAATTCCATTTTTATAAAAATTCGAATGTCTGGTGACAATAAATTGTTTAAAGGCATTTTCGACAGTCTCTTGATTCATAAACGTTTTCTCGTTGAGGAAATGTTTTAAGTGTTTGAAAAAATGATAATCAGTAGGCGACAGGTCAGGTGAATATGGTGGATGAGGCAGAGTTTCAAAATTTAAGCTATTCAGCTTTTGGACCGTTGAAGCAGAATTGGGCCCTTTCGGTTTGCCAATGCCGAGTCAGGTGAATATGGTGGATGAGGCAGAGTTTCAAAATTTAAGCTATTCAGCTTTTGGACCGTTATTTGTGAAACATGCGGTCGAGCATTATCATGAAGCAGAATTGGGCCCTTTCGGTTTGCCAATGCCGGTTGTTTTACCCACAATTTCTGGTGCATTGCTTCAATTTCGGCACAATATTTCTCCGCATTAATTGTTTCACCCGTCCTTAAGAAATTATAGTGAATTACACCAGCCATTGACCACCATAGTGTGATCATTATCTTCCTTGGATGCAAGGCTGGCTTTGGCATATGTCGTGGGGATTCATCTGCATCCAACCATTGGGCAGAACGTCGTCTATTGTCATACAGTGACAATGCGATCCAAAAACGGGTCCCTACCATTTCGGATTAGCAGCGAATTGCGTATGTCTTGACGTTGGAGCTTCTGCCGTTCGTTAAGTTCAAGTGGCACCCACTTGTCCAGTTTTTTTCACTTTCCCAATCGATTTCAGGTGACGTGAAATTGTCATGGGACTTACACTGAATTCTTGTGCCAAGTCTCTAACTGTTTGTCGCGTATTTGCTTCAATAGAAATCTGCAACTGATCGTCGTTAATGGACGGCTCTGGTCTTCCGCGTGCTTCAATAACGAGGCTTTCATCTCCGGCTTCGAATTTTTCGAACCATCGACGCACTGTACGTTCGTTAACTGTTCATACAGTATCCACTTTTCATCACAAGTGACAATGCGATCCAAAAACGGGTCCCTACCATTTTGGATTAGCAGCGAATTGCATATGTTTGACGTTGGAGCTTCTGCCGTTCGTTAAGTTCATGTGGTACCCACTTGTCCAGTTTTTTTCACTTTCCCAATCGATTTCAGGTGACGTGAAATTGTCATGGGACTTACACTGAATTCTTGTGCCAAATCTCTAACTGTTTGTCGCGTACTTGCTTCAATAGAAATCTGCAACTGATTGTCGTTAACGGACCGCTCTGGTCTTCCGCGCCCTTCAATAATAAGGCTTTTATCTCAGGCTTCGAATTTTTGTAACTATCGACGCACTGTACGTTCGTTAACTGTATTATGACCACTTTTCCACTCATATAAAAAAAGTACGCGAAAATCACGTTGATTCATGTTTGAAAGCAAGGTTAACAACGTACACAACACAAATGAAGACTGAATCTGACAAAAGAAAGTCTACTCTTGAAGATGTCATTTTAAAACATCTCCAAAAACAAATATTTATCGAAAAAATAAGGTTTAAAATATTGATACAACGGAATCGGACATTTCATATGTTACGACCTAATATATCCTAGCGAGAGAAATTGAAGTTTGTAGCCTAAAGTTTTTAGAAATTCCCGTGATATAACGTGATATAAAGAGGAAATTTCCGAAAGTTTATAACAGACAGGAGACTGAATGGTCAGAACCTGGAAAAAAGTCGGCTTTATTGTCAAAACATCCGTTACCTTCACTTCATTGTTAGACATCGCCACCCCTCCTGAAGGGAAAGCGCGCTAAAGACACAAAGGAAGGGTGCTTACGATGTCTCTTAGGCACTCTGATTGGCGATTAGGTATTCTTAGAAATGGCCAAGCAGCATGCATGGAAAGAAATGAGATGTGAGACGACCGTCAGTGGCAAAAGGAAGTTACAAACACACGGAGAGTCAGAAACAAGCTGTAAATTAGAAATCAGCAATCAAATAGTTTAGAGCGCTCAGCACTCAAGCTAGGTACTAATTAATGAAATTAGCTTTCAGGCTAATCGAATAGGTACTCAGGCCAACAAGAAGCATTTAGGCTTAATTTATAGTTTGTTCATTGTTCGCTTTGTGTATAAATTTAGTAAAGCACAAACTAAAGTGAGAAATTAGTGGAAATTAGAAGGTGGTTCGTTGAAAGAGAAAAGTCAGGCAGCACTACTGTGCAATATTTGAGAACTAAAACAACTCAGCAGCCATCTCAGCAGGCATTTGCCAATCAGCGTGTCTAATATCGTCTTTACTGCCCTTCCAGTGCGCCCTGAGCGCGCTGTCACCTTGGAAGGATGGGAGACGGTCGCGAGGGGTGGGCTAAAGGTCCCAAAAATCTGGAACTTCCTCCGGGTGACTAATCGGCAAGCGGACCGTTACAAATTCGTGGTTTATGGTATGTTCGTAGGCTATTGAGGGACACAAATTACTAAAAATCTAGCAAATCAATTCTAGTGACCCTCGCAGGATGTAATTAGACCCGTGTAAGCAATAAACGAAAATTCTGAACTCAAAAATAACCGTTCCCGGTCGATCGTGCCATAAACCGTTTCTACAGAAAACCAAACAGGTGTCGTGGGACCTTTCGCGGAAACGATAGACAGAAGTCATCTGACCACGCCACGAGTCGCTCTAGAAGTTAGTTAATAGTAATAGTTGTTTTGTCCTCCTAATCACGGAGGTAGTCCTTTGAAGACGAACCTATTAAACTTAGTCGGCACACTACGTGCAAAAATCGACAAGACTCGAAAGTTCTTTGCAACTGCCACGAGCACATCCTAACAAGTAATATTAAGAATGTTTACGTATTTTATTATCGACTCTGTTCCACACCATCTCAGTACAATTTAAATCAGGTGATTAGGGAGATGTATTTATGACCTTTGAACAGTTACATAATAAACCTTCTTTTTATAATTTGTGATTTATGTTTCGAATCGATATCTTGATATAAATGAAAAGTCTTGAGAACACCCATTTTCTAAGTACTTTGTTTGCAATTATTTTTTAGAATATTTAAATACATCATTTTACCGTTGAAAGAGAAAAGTCAGGCAGCACTACTGTGCAATATTTGAGAACTAAAACAACTCAGCAGCCATCTCAGCAGGCATTTGCCAATCAGCGTGTCTAATATCGTCTTTACTGCCCTTCCAGTGAAATGAAAAGTCTTGAGAACACCCATTTTCTAAGTACTTTGTTTGCAATTATTTTTTAGAATAT